GCTTTTTCAACCTCTGTCTATCTCATCAATAAGCTTCCCTCTTCCTCCATTCAATTTCAAATTCCTTATTCCCTGTTTAACAAATCTCAGCCTGATTAAAACTTCTTAAGAGTGTTTGGTTGTGCATGTTTTCCACTGCCCAGGCCCTATAATAGTCACAAGTTGGACTTTAGGTCCCAGGAGTGTGTGTTTCTTGGTTATTCCTCTTCTCATAAAGGGTATAGATGTCTTGCCCCCACTGGAAGAATGTACATCTCTAAGGATGTTCTCTTCAATGATTTCAGGTTTCCTTTTCCTGAACTGTTTCCTTCCTCTACTTCATCAACTCCTTCCACTAAAAGTGTCACACTTTCACCTTTACCTGTTATTTCTAATGTTGTTCTCACTCCCATTGTTGTTTCTCCCAGCCCCACTGCTTTTTCTTCAAGTCCTGCTAATCAGTCCCTTGAGTCTACTGACACCAATGACACTTTACCACACTTCAGTCAATCTACTTCATCTCAACCCTCTAATAATTTATCTAGTCCTCAGACTCCCACTTCAGACCAAGTCACTCCTAGTAATTCTTCATCAGCTTCCTCTTCTTTTCCCTCCCAGACTAGTATCTCCTCATCCTCTATTTCTTCTACTGCCAACCCTCTTATTCCACCTAAAGTTGTTCCTGTACCTCAACCCCATAACTTTCATCATATGCAAACCAGGGCCAAATCTGGTTTTTCTCAACCTAGATTAGACCTCAAACTACTCTTGGTTACCGCAGAACCCAAGAGTGTTAAGTCTGCTCTTGCTGATGCTAATTGGAAATCAACTATGCAAGCTGAATACAATGCCCTCATTAACAACAACACCTAGACCCTTGTTCCCCTTCCCCCCAGAAGAATGTCATTGGCTGCAAATGGGTGTTTAGGGTTAAAGAAAATCCAGATGGCACAATGAATAAGTATAAAGCTAGGCTGGTAGCAAAGGGATTCCATCAAAGGTATGAATTTGATTTTACAGAGACATTTTCTCCTGTAGTTAAACCTGTCACTATCAGACTCATTTGATCCATTACTCTTACTCAAAAATGGCATATTCAGTAATTAAATGTCAACAATGCCTTTCTCAATGGCATTCTTAATGAAGAAGTTTATATGGAGCAACCAAAGGGGTTTCAAAGTGATAATCCACATTAGTTTGCAAGCTCAACAAGGCTCTTTATGGCCTGAAACAAGCCCCTAGAAAGTGGTTTGACAGGCTGCAATCTACTCTTATCCAGCTCAAATTTAAACCTAGTAAGGGTGATCTTTCCCTCTTCACTTATTGTGTTGGAGGTCACACCATCTACATGTTAGTTTATGTGGATGATATTATCATCATAGGTGATTCTGCCTCACTCATTAACACCATCAACTCCAAACTAAATTCAAGTTTTCCTCTTAAACAACTTGGCTCCCTTAACTACTTCTTAGGGATTGAGGTTAAGCAACCTAATTCTGATTCCTTACTTGTCACTCAGTCCAAACATATTCAGGACCTCTTAGTGAAAACTAACATGTTGGAGGTCTGTCCTGTTCAAACTCCCATGCAGTCCTCTTATAAAGTCACAAGAACTAGGGCCCCAGCTATGTCTGACCCTTCCCTTTACAGGTCTATGGTGGGTGCCCTGCAGTATGCAACTCTTACCAAGCCTGATATAACTTATGTTGTCAACAAGGTGTGTCAATTTATGTCTCATCCTTTAGAGCCTCATTGGGTTGTTGTTAAGAGAATTCTCATATATCTCAAGGGCACTATTGGTCATGGGCTCTTGCTTTCAGCTCCCTCTCCATCCTTTCTACCTTCTCTACAGGTCTATTGTGATGCAGTCTGGGCCGTTGATCCTGATGACAAAAGAAGTACATCAGGAGCTGCCATTTATTTTGGTGCTACTCTCATCTCTTGGTGGTCTAAGAAACAGCCTGTGGTGGCCAAATCTAACACAAAATCTGAGTATAGAAGTCTAGCTCAAGCCACTGCTGATCTTCTGTGGCTGCAGACCTTACTCAAGGAGCTATTCATCTCAACCAAAACTCCTTTTGTTCTTTGTGATAATCAATCTGTAGTATTACCGGCACATAATCCTATTCTCCACTCTAGAACAAAACACATGAAAATTATTTTTTTTTTGTCCGGCAGAAAGTCTTGTCCAAGCAGCTGTCCATCACTCATATTCCAGGCACTGACCAGTGGGCAGATACACTCACAAAACCTCTTCCCTCTACAAGGTTTCTTGAGCTCAGGCACAAACTCAACGTGAGAGACTCCCCTTGAGTTTGGGGGGGGGGGGGTATTAGAGTATTGCAGCTTTGTATAGCTTAGAACTGACAAGTGTCAGTCTGAGTAGTTTGTTTAACCTGTTACTATAGATTTTCAGTTAGTTAGAACCTGCTACTGTAGGTTAGCCTTGTTTATCAAAACCTGTTGTGAGAGGTCATAAAGTTAGTTTTAACCTGCTAGTGCAGGTCAGTGCTTTTGTTGTATAAAAAGAAAACTCTAGTGTAACTGAATTCATTCAAACAATAATAGAAAAATATAGTTTGTTACAATCATGAAACTCTCTCTCTTCACTTTCTAATAGTGAGTGACACAGGAAGATGAATGTCTTCACAACCATCAACCAGAGTACGAGAACCATCTGCAATAATAATTTACAGAATGCGAGAAAGAGATATATTCATCAAAAAAATGTTAAGAATCAAATGTCATGTGATGAATGACACTAGAATCAAGAATTTAAACATTCTTACAACCAATATGACAATATTAAAAACAAAAATTACAAAAGATCTATTTTCAACCATATTTGTTTATACTTGCAAAAATATTTTCTCAAGAGAATAAGAAGAAAAAAAAACTCTAGCAAATAGTAACTAAAAGACATGAAACTCGTTTCAAAATTTTTCCTTTTTCTAAATTTTTTTCAAATTCTTTTTTGGGTGAATAATGACACGGGTAAACAATATCTTTAGGATGAATGTTTTAGAATTTCAAAATAAATGACACTAACGGCGACTGTGATTTAAGCCGAAGCAAGACCTTCAAAATCAAGAGTTCGTGATATCATATATAAAAAACATTTTCGTATATTTCAAAATTGTGATTTACAATGGAGTAAAAACTAAACATTCATGACCAAAATAATGTTCATTTGCCATATTATAGCTACAAAATATATCCGGCCGCAAACATCCTACAAGTAAAGAACCTGTCAAGCACGCAATAGATTATATGTTGATCATTTACTTTGATGTTCAAATTCCTTATAACTCAAACCAACTAAATATTTTCAAAGATAGATGCATTTTATCACATACAACCCGTGCTCATGTTTCTATAATTATGACAGTTGCTACAAACCAGTAGAAAGATAAAAACTACATGCCACTACAGTCTCTTGCACTTTGAACCTTATAATTGGGGCAGAGGTGGGTGAAGGACTTAAAAACTAGGCACTGTCTGAAAGTGACCTCACAGTACAGAAAATGGAATGCCCCTTACACATTATCTTCATCATAATTAATTCCCACTTCTCTTTTCTCATTTGCCAACCAAACTATTGAGATTGGGGACCATACATGTATTGCAAATACAGAATGATTAATTTCTCCTCCACATTAATCTCTAGGGACATAGTACATATCACAATTAAGATATTATGTACCTTATGTCAACAGTTTGTCTGTAAAAATCCGTTCAACTTACAAATACTGATATTATTAGGTTGAATAATGTGTCTCGAGTTCGAATATGTGATTTTGCAATTACAAGAATTTTATTCTCTTTTTATTTGTAAATTAAAAAAATTGACCTATGAAGGAATTAATTAAGGACTATTTGATTTTGGGGTTCTTAGGTTTCAAATTTGGCTAGTAATGTGTTAGTGTACAAGTAATTGTTTTTTTTTTCTTTCTTTTAGCTACCAATTAATTAACCTTTACTTTTAGCTTTGCATCTTAATCAATGCCACTGCACTTTAAACAGCACCTAGTCAAAAAACAATACAATGTTTGTGATAAATTAGATACTAAAGTCTCCAATGTTATAGTCTTTTCTTTAATCATCTCTATCCCAAATATGAACAACCATGAGTTTTTAGGGAAAAATATTCTCTGCATCAACCTTAAAATACTTTTGCTCCCTCATATAATAATTTTAACTTTCACCAAATTTATCTTTAAAATCCTACAAATAATAGTTATCTTTTAATCACTAAAAAAAAGTATTTGAATAAAATGACAGTAACTAAAGATTTTGAGGTTAAATTCAGTTTTGAGAACGTAGCCGTACTGAAGTTCTTGAAGAAATTTTTTTTTGTCAATTCTCTTCAGATTAATAAATTAGTCTATTCAATTACGCACAGAAAATATCTGTTTTATATCATAATTTTATTTTTATAGTACACATATGTATATGTATTAAAAGTGGCAAAACCGATCCGACCCGTCAAACATGTCCTTTTATTCAATTTTTTATGGGACAGATCAAGACTTTAGACACATATCTTATAATATGTTTGTTCCGCCTCTTTTTTATACGGCCTTTAACGAAGCATATATTAACATAAATTTTTTATAATTATTAAGATTTAAGAGTACAGTGTTCACAAATCCGTCTCTCGCCTTACTCTTATTTTTGTGTGAAACATAACAAAATTTTAAGCCTGCATTCTTAAATATGGTCCGCTTCATTTTTGCATGCCTTTTGCCACCTAATATGCATATGTATATGAAATAAAAAAGAAAAAGAGAAAAGGATTGAAAATGACAAAGAGCATGGGATGTTTTGAACTTAAAAGCTAGTGTTGAAACATAGACAAAAAATACAACACATCCCTTTATAGTACAATTGATTTTTTCTTTTGTTACAATAGGAATAGTTGACATCTCTTTATAATCAACTCAAACTGAAGGCAAACTTGGAGAACACACAAACAAGAAAACCAACCTATTTTCACTCTTCACAACACAACAGAATCACAAATGCTTGTAAGAGAAAACATTCGAAAAACCAAATTCTTACTTCAAAAAACACTCAAAAACTTCAAATGTCTCATCTTTGGAGGATACCAGAAACTCCCCAGATCTCTTTCCTTCAAACCATTCATCGGTCGAACTCGAAGTAACAACAATAGTGCAAGAACAACGTACACAAGTGATCAATTCTACAATGAGTTTTACGATATTCTCCAATCCGATCTCAATAGAATGAATCGAAACGGCGAGACTAAACTAACAGAAGGTGCTGCTGCAGCAACTGCAAGTAATGTAAATGTAAAGCATGTGAGTTTTGTGAAACAAAGTCCACAAAAGAACGGTAATGAAAATATAGCGATGGAGAAGAAGAAGAACAAAGGGAAGAAGAACAAGAACGAAGGAGTTAATGAATTGGCATTGAAGATGAAGGAATTGGAGATGAATGATTCAGGTGATGTTGAACAAGTTCTTGATATAGAAGAAGCACTTCATTACTATTCTCGTCTTAAGAGTCCGGTTTATTTAGATATTGTCGACAAGTTTTTCACTGACATGCATTCTGAGTTTTCTGTTTCTCAATCTTCTGTCAGAAACAAACATTCTAAGACAAAAGGAAGATTTGGAGCAATAAGGTTGTAGATAACATAAATATTAATTCTTGTTTGTTTGTTGTATATGAAATGTGTTTTGTTTTTACCTTCTTCTTTTTTTTTTTTTTTTTGTGATTGTTATGTTGAAGGGTTTGAGTTTGTATTTTTCTTCTTTTGGTTAGTTGATGGTTGAATTTAATTTATATTTTCCATTGATCTATAATTATACTTTTTTCAATCTTGAAAGGTTTATTTGAGTTTACAGCTTCTTTCTCAAATCTCATAGAGATTATTGGTAGAATTTTCATACCTAGTTTTGTTAGTCTTTGATAAGAAGGTAAGAGAACACAAATGAATTCAATTTTTCTGCAAAGATTAAACTCTGCTGTTTAAGAGGATCATAAGAAATGCAAAACTATCTTTCAACAAATGTATGAATATATCAAATTTGAAGACATTTCTTAAGACTGTATTTGGGTAAGTCGTTTTTTCAAGAGAATCTAATGCTTTTAAAATGATTTGAACAAAATTAATTGAGTTTTTTTTTTTTAAAAAAGGCAAAATTTTACTGTCATAGAAAAATGGCATAAAAAATGTCAATACAACAAAAACATACAATTTATTATGAATTTAATGATGATGTATTAACTGTTTAAAAATATTTTATATTGTCATTTAATAAAGATATATCATTCTGTCATGTCATATAATTAATTTAAAGTTTTCAGTATGATTTACCGGATGTATGGTCGTAATTGATTGATAATGTAAAAAAAATCACTCTTTTTTTATTTATTATTTAGATAAAAAAAAATATGAAAAATTATTAAAATAATAAAAATCTATAAAATATTTTATTCAACTTAAATTTTATGATTTTGAAATGATATTTAAAATTAAATAATTTTAAATTTCTCTCGTACTCCATAAAATTTAAAAGTCACATTGATTAATGTTATTATTTTAAACTTTGCAAATTGGTTCTCATATTTTCCAAAATTTTAAAAGTGATTCTCAAATTTCAAAAAAATTACAAATTAATCTTTAATAATTTTGAAATTGATTCTTTGAATTTTAAAAATCGCAAATCAGTTCCTGTTGTTAAAATTTAAAATTTAGCCCTTTAACTTTTTTTTTTACACAAAATTTAGTCCTAAAACTTTAAAATGTATCAAAAGACTCCAAATATTTAACAATGATTTATCTTAATACACTATCTAAACAAAAGAATTTAATAAATAAATAAATTTTAATTGAATCATTTGAATGGGTTTGAATTTTAAATTTTTAAAATTTTCAATTACTTTATACACACTCTAAATGTTCTTGTAATTAAATTATTTAGTATTCAAATGTGTTTTTGTTAGTCAATTTTATCAGTAAAATTATAAATAAAATAGACATTTGGAATTTTGATTTTAGTTAATATTACCATTGTCTCATACTTTTTGAAAGTTTGGAAGAGAAGTGAGGGGAGAGTTTTCAAAAATGGGAAGGATTAGACGTGAAAAATTCAAAGTTTGTATTGAAAGAGAATTTTAGAAGGATTGCATAAAATTTTCAAATATATTTTATATTATTACTGAAAATTAAAAATATAATAATGATAATTTTTTTTATCATTCTTTACAAAATCATTCGTTAAAAAAGTTTAAATTATTTTTCTATATTTTTTAAAAATTTGTTTTTGGAAGCTTTCCATTCCCCTCTCATACAAACTCCCAAATAAAGTCTATGGGACAAACTGGTTGTTATCCTATATGATATAGACAGTGCTACATCAAATCAATTTCCTACATGGCACATTCTTAATTGGTTACTATTTCATATGGACACGGTGAAAACTCTTTTAACATGTATATTATACATGCAACTCAAACGTCAATTACATTTGAAATAGATCAATAAGTATAAAAGATATTAATTATATTTAATGCCAAAGTGAAATTGCAAAACTTAAAATATATTTGTTTGATATGCTAAATGTAAAGCTTTATCATATTTTGTCCAAAAAAAAAACTCATACTTTGTTATTTCATTGTGTAATGAAGCATATTTTGAAGGCTTACATAACTTAATTAGACTGAAAAGTGAATCCTTCTAAAGAAAATTATTAATCATACTGGTATAAGATGACAAACAGAAAAATATATATATCGGTATTCCATAATTCCATTGATCAATCAAACATGAATTGAGAGCTTTATACATTACCTATGGCATGCAACAACAATTGCGCATAAAACCAATACATGTCTACATTCTTCACAGGGTGAAGAGGAATATGAAAAATCCATTCTCCAGTTTCCTGAGTAGTTTGCCAAGGCACAAAATCATGAAAAATCATATCAAATTAGTGCCGCGATATATTCCAGATCTCAATCTTCCACTGAATCACAGAAATGCTTGATTCCAACCACCTAAAAATAAACCTTTCTCACTAGGAGTCTTTTTTAAATGATACTAGTAACCAGAAGATGAAACCAAAATATGATGCTCCTTTAAACGTTTCTGAAAATGAGCTAAACGGTTTTGTAACTGCAGAATGCCAGCAGCCTTCTGAGATAGAATGGTGTTAAGTCTTTTAACGTAATCGTCCAGCTGATTCCCTGGTTGACCTGCTTCAACCAAGAGGTTCATCTCCTGCATATCAAGTGCAGATAAAATATGAATTTGAAAAAATAATGTTTGAGGGGATTATCATCTAAATTGAAGCCACTTCATAACTAGTTAAACACTTAGAAGGTTAAGACACATGAAGCGATAGATAGTAAAATAGACAATTTAATACCTCTTTAACAATATTCATGGTCTCCTCTACTTGTGTCCGGTGAGCATTTACTAGATCCTCTTCTTCCTGAAATTACAACACGCTTTAGGTAACAACGAGCACAATGTTATTTATATGATAATCATTATCTTGGTAGCCAGCAAATTACCTGTAAGAGGGCGCTCAATTCATCTTCCTCTGAATTAGTGGGTTTAGGTTCAGCTTTTGGGAGGTCCTTCCATTTGACCAGACCACTAGGTTTCTTCAATCTGTCATCTGTTATTGCATATGGCTCCATCCTTACATTTTTCTTCAAGGGTGGTTTTACCTGCTCATAGTACTCTTCAGGTGGGCTAAAATCATCCCCTTCATTTTCATCTTGCCATGCATCAGCTGTATGATCCTCATAGGTCGGTGCAGTAACAGAAGATAAGGGAACTGAAATTGATTCTTTAAGGTTGAAATTTGATGATAAAACATCCTTCTTCGAGTTGTTCCCTTTTGACAGGCTTTTAACCCTGGATTTTCATTCAGTTTATAACAATGAAATTTGTCATGTCGATGGCTATAGTCCACTATTGTATCTTGTGTGAGGTGTGGTGTAGGTGACTTGAGGAGAATAAAACATTTTTAAAATATCATGTTACCTGTCAGCATATCTTAAAGTATTCAGAGTGTGCTCGCATGAACCAGAGCTTGGTGATATGCATGATATCATAACAGTACGGGAATTCCCAACAAAAGAATCACGCAAAACTTCAGTCAGTTTGCTTCCCCTGAAAGGGATGTGTCCTTGGTCATTATCAAGAGCTCTTATGCATTCCTTTAGGGCGAGTAAGCTCTTGTTGATTTCAGCCCCTTCTATTCTGTATCATAAAATTAGAAATGGCCATGAATAATAATAAAAAATCATCAGACTAGGGATACAATAATTCACGAGCTATGATAGAGTCCCGGATCTGATATATCTTTTCTTTGACCTCGAAAAAAGTATATGACCAAAATTGGAGCTTAATTGGATCTAATTTAAATTTCTAAGGAATTGTTTGAGAAGGGTAACAACATAGATCCACTCTATCAATTCAAGCTAAATCATACCTTGTTTGTTTGTCATTGTCAGTAGTATCCGCTCCACGTTCACTTCCAGCAAGATCTATGAAGGAAAGCTTGCCAACAAGTCGGGGAGGTTTGGATTCGCTGCCATCAACTGACCTCTTAATCGCAAGTTGAAGTATTGCATGGGAGCGAGAAGATTCCTCATTTGCACCTGTGGTTCCTGTACTTCTTGTGGCACTTCCTTTCTCAATCAGGTCTTTGATGTTCTCCACATCTGCTACTCGATACTCTTGCAAACCAACAATGCAAACTTGTTGCTTTCCATCCTCCCTCATGCAAAGCTTTCTGCAAAAATATAACTTTTAACTTCCTGAACACAGACTAAAATGCAACTAAGAAAGAATGTGACTTACTTTCTATCATTAAGAAGGTCATAAAGCTTCCCGCCATATATTTCAAAGAAACTCACGAACAGTTGAAATCCTTGGTTCCGGTAAGTATGATGCATCAATCTCAGGATGTCCCTTGATGCTTTAAGTGGCAGTGGCTTCATCGTGTAGGTTTTTCCACTTCCTAGAAAAGCAAATGAAGTTATTTAGAAGATTGGTCATTCTCATTGTACAAATTGTCAAAGTCAAATTGGTATAAATATTGGCACATAAGAATCAAGATTTTCCTTCAAAAGTCTCAAGAATGTATCTTTGATATAGAACAAAATGCAAGCATTGATTTAGGATTATCTATAAAAAAAATACAATACTCAAACTAAATGAATATATATACATATATAACTAAAGTGATAGCTTGTACATATGTAATCAAAAAAGTCCAAGTAAGCAAGTTTATAGCCTCTTGATTTCTAAACTGAAAAGAAATATCAGAAAATTCCAAAGAGATGTATGATTTCAAGTGGAAGTGTCACTTAATAAATAGACATAAAATTGGATTATTTTTTGGCAGGATATAATAGCAATCAAATTGAATATGAGAGGCTGTTATCACCTGTTTGCCCGTAAGCAAAGCAAGTTGCCTTAGTGCGTTCGAAGATGATTGGTACTATGGGTTCCACTGTTTCACGGTAGACCTAAAGAGAACAAAAAGGTTATATGGATAGTTACAGAAGCAGAGATATATCATATATGATGTTGATCACTAAATTGAAGCACACTATAGTTACCTCATCATTTGTAACCTCTTCATTCAAGACAGCATCAAAAACAAATTCATGCTTCTCTAAGTACTGAGTTAAGTCAACCTGTAACGCATATATATATTTTAAAATCTTCAAATATAAAACATATAGATTACCTTGCCAAAACCTTTCCAAAGAAGTGAGGAGTGAGGAGTTAATGGGTAAAATAATACTACTTTGTTCCATTTCATTCTTTTGAAGGCTTGTTTAATTTCTAATATAAAAATACAGATAATCACACTCACCTTCAGTTTGGTTTCATGCACTGTCATAGAATTGGAATACGTTTCTATAATGTCTTCCTCGTTCTTCGCTAATTCCTTTTTATTCAATGGTCTCTTACGAACCTGCATTAAAGAGAGTGACAAGCAAATATTATCCAAACAAAATTTAAATGCTCTTCACAAATCACAACTGGACAACATTTAATTTTCATTTTCAGATCATTCAATGAACTTTAGATTCATTTCTAAGAGAACCTCTCTAGGTATTGTGCCAATGCAGTTTCAAATATACCCGCAAACAATCAGCAAAAACATTAAACATTTCAAATGAAAAGTGAGCGAATCAATTAAAAATGAAATAGCATGATATATTGAGAAATGCAAGTGAACATACCACAACTTTAATTTTTGCCACGGAACTAGACTTCTCTTTGTCGGACGGTATACTTTTCACTGCATTGTCAGGAGCACGAGCCTTGGCAGTCTGTTTGCTCATGTAAGGTTCAGAATCGTCAAAGCTTCTACCACGGTAGAGAGAGTTGGACTCATATGCATTGGAGGTTGGAATCTACCACAGAGATAAACAAATTAGATTCAAAATTCAAAATGAGATTGTATATCATCTAAATAACTGTCCTTGCATTTTCAAGACTTTATGCACGCTGGTTTTGTTTCATATTTACATTTACCTACTGCCTACCCTATCATGATATGTCTTGGTTGTCATTGGTGGTTGTTAGTCTAATTTAAAAATTAAAAAAAAAAAAAAAAAAAAAGACTCATTGCCGAGTATTCTGCAACATTTACTTTTTGCAGATTCGGCAAACCTTAAAACCCTCTTGCAGTCCTCACACGAGAAGGGTTCATCTGATTGTATTTATTCGAAAACCCTTACAAGAATACATTCTCAAATCAACTATCACATCAGATTGAGGAAGTACTTTAAACCTCAACCTATAAAAAGAACTAATAATTTTTTTTGTTGGAAAAAGCTAATTGTGTCAAAATAAAAAACAGGCTAAACAAAGTGTAATCAGTACTTTTCCAAGACCCTTATACAAAATTGGTACAATATGCAGCAAACCGATCCAAAACTAACAGAAAAAAAAAAAAGTACGGTGAAGAAATTGAACTAACAAGGAATTAACAGTTAAATTTCAAAATTAGGGCTAACGATCAATACAAAGTTTCCCTAGTGTGAAGTCTAACTACCCATACATTCAATGTAAGACCAAATACAAATTCAAAAATATAGTATGGTAAATAAAATTGAATAAACAACAACAACCTCAGTAAGAAGCTCAGTATCAAACGAATGCAGATCCAACAAGCCAGGACTAAAATCACCGGTCGAATCTTCGCCGCTCAACTTCAGCGTCGACGCACCGCGATAAGCATCAGGAGGCGAAGCAGGCTCCATATAATAATCACTCCCTCCTCCATTAAAGCTTCTCTGAACATTCCTATACATTCTCCCTCCCTGCGCTCCGCCGCCGCCATACAAATTATAATCCTACTCAAATTTCAAACAAAGTTTCAAACAAGATTTCAAAAATATACGAAATCTCATTAGATCAAATCAATAAACGAACATAGAGAATGAGAAATGGATGAAACGAACCTGGAGCGGATTTACGGCGGAGGAAGATTGAAGATGTTGAAGTCCAGCAGATTGAAGCCATCTGTTTCCGGTGGAGGCGCCGTCGAGAAAATTCTCGGAGTATTGCCGTTGGTGGTGAACGCCGGTGGCACTAGATCTAAGTCCTTGTCTTCCTCCGCCGTTCATTTTCACTTCAACCAGATCGGAATGTTCTAGAATTCCAATGGAGTGAAACCGAAGATAAACACGATGCAACAACAACAACACAACGAAATGAATGAAGGAAAGAAAAGAGAGATTTTGAATTTTTTTTGAATAAAAGTTTCTGATGTTGGCACGTGCGAGAAGTGAGGTGAGTTTTTGAAGTAAAACGACGACGTATAGACGGGGGCCGGTGTAGTATTGTGGTGGTGAAGTAGGTCCCGTAGTTTTTTAAACTTTGTCCCGTTTCTCACATGGGTGGGGACCACCGTTGTCGATTATGAATTAACGTTGCGCGCTTGGCTTCGCATTCAAAATTTCTACGAATTTTTTGTTTGAAGTTTTAGTGAGATCTCATCGTCTCGGTCCACGTGGCGATATCTTGAATTAGGTTTTTGTTTGAATGGTATGAAACGGATCAATTTGCGGCGCTGCCCCGCTCCATGGTTATTGCCCGTTTAATTTACTTTTTAGAAAGAAAAAAAATGGACAGATGAGTGATCTTCAACAAAGTTCCTCAAGTGAAGGGAGATGTCATTTGTCAAATGTTATCATAAATCATAAGGATCTCCCTACCCTACAATTGATTGAAATTTCTATTTTGCTTTATATACAGTAGTAAGTTTGAATTCAGTTATTGGAACCGTTTGTGAACAAATAAATTTTGTTTTAAGTATAAAAATCATACATTTGAAATAGAAAATTGAGAGATAATTTGTTATTTCAAACTAGTATTGTTAAACTTCATAAAGGTTATATGTTTGTATTTTTATGAATTTATTTATTTTTTAATAACAATTGAATTGGATTTAGATGACGAGATAATTATAGAAAGAACACAATGACTTTATACAAAATAGAAAGAAATTATGCATCATTTTTTAATGAACGATTGATATATTTTTACTTAACTATTATGAATATCATATTACTTGTCGAGTGTGGTTTGGAGTGATAAATAATTGTTTTTTATTTTGTGTTTATTTTAAATGTATGCACGAGTGTCTCATGATTGTCAGTATAAAATAAGTAATTATTTTTATTGATTTTTTTAATGTTTATTTTAAATATATGCGTAAGTGTCTCAAGATGAGATTGGTTGCATGTGGTAAAAATATTATAGAAGTTTATTCTGTTACAGCTACCCTCAGTGATACAGAGTTGTGTGTAAGGTTCTAGCTTAGGAGCAATTCAAAGGCAGTCTAAAGTTGATTGACAACCATCTTATATGTGCATTTGTGGAGAATGCAAGACATTATCATTTGGTGAAATGACAATTTCATTATATGATATGACAAAATGACTTTTACTTTTGATTAAGGGTGATTTCTTCGTCCTATTTGCAAGTATGGATGTGCCTATTGTCGCGGCGCAAAAAATACCCGAGCGCATCGCATGCTCGATAATACAACAGAGTAGCCGCCGAATTTTATTTATTCCAAAAGAAAAGGTTAAATATCGATTAAACCCAAGAGAAAGAGAAACATATAAGGGAGTCGGTTATGCAAGGGGTAGGTATATTAACATCCCTCACATCCGTCATACTTGACGGGAACCATTTTGATTGTTCTTTGCGTGGATGGGTGTGACTATCTAAAGGTTACTTGCGTGAGGGAAAAAATGTTTATAATTAGTGTGCTGGCCAAGGATGCAAACCCTCGTGCCTACGTATCCTCATAGTGTAATTAGAAAATCAGAGCTTCGTAGTTCGGAGTAGAAAATATGTGTGTGTTGGTTATTTTTTAGAGAATAATTATAATTGTATTCTAGAAGTGTGTATACGTTAGCTGATTTGATCCTAGTGCAGATGCTCCAAGCTTTTTAGTTTCACTACTAAGGAATAGATTATAAAACTTCTTTTATGAAAAGACAAGACTGTTGTTTTGCTAAAGGAGTTGTGAAATGAGAAAGGTGTTGTGAAAGTATTGTTTGAAATAGGATTAGTGTTGTTGGATAAGGTATGTGTCTGGACCAAAGAGTATGGCTAAAGAAAAAAGGTAGGATTTTTCCTAAATCCAAGGATCAAGACCTACAAAAGGGGTGTTTGTCTAAGCATGAGGTCTGACAAGGCAAACAATGCAAGACAGGGGGTTTGTTTAAGTGTTGGCTGGGATTTTGACACTCATAAATGTTGGAAGTAAGTCATAGGATTCAAAAGTATATATTCTGCAGAAGAATATGATGATTTTAACAAAACCATGATAAGAACATTTCAACGTAGGATCTGTTTATCAAGGAGGTCTAAGACTTAGAGATATTTTTGGCCTAGACTGGAGTTGATGAAACTTACATAAAGTAGCATTCGACATATGCAATTTAAAATAAGGCTGATAACTGTCTTTTGGCCTTATCTGTTTTCAAGACACGTGAAGAGCTTTGAAACAGCGAATGCATGCAGATTGGAAACATGGCATTTTCTGGCGAGAAGATTGTTAGATAGCGGTTATTTTCGAGTTAGTATAAATAGAGTCTTAGCAGTTAGGATTTGAAGGTATTCAACCTTGTACAAAAAACTCTAAATTTACTCTAAGTACTTGTGTTTGAGAAAAAAGTGTTTCTTGAGTGAAAATGTACGTATGAGTACCATATTTTTACACTTTTTACCATATTATTTAAAACTCTTCTTGTAATTTACATTTGATGCGATTTAAGATCTTGTCATTTACTTTAAAGCCATCCATTTACTTTGTAATCTACATTCCTGCATTTCTTTAAAGAATTGTAACATTTTCTTAAACAACTCTTAAGAACATTGTCAAAATGTTCATACTTAACAAACCTAAAAACTAAATAACAACACATGTTCTAGGATCAATCTAGTCGATCTTGTAAGTAACCAAAGATTTAATAGCTTTGGAAGACTAACAGTTGTTTACCAATTTCGACTGTAAACAAATCGGCACGCCTAGTGGGACTGGTGTTGTTAGTTAGAATTTGTGAAAAATATTTAGAAGTTCTTCATTTCTGGTTTCCTTTAACTTCTTTGTATGAGACTTAGAAGTGGTAAAATAACCACTAATAACGAAACAAGACCAAGAAGGAGACGTGTAACGATGGCGAATATTCCAAATAATAATGGAGAACCACCCCCTCCTTTGACGGAGGAAACTACGACCACAACGTCTGTGTCCGAAGTAATTCCATCCACAACAAGTACGACGGTCGTACCGTTGAATGCTTACAGTGGGCTAATTTTATCCCCTGTGAGAATGCAGGGTCAACTGTTGACCCCTCCTCCAGTGGGTACTGGTTCATTCAGACCTTTTGTGTCTGGATTTTTAATGCCTTTAAATGGTCGAGAACAACCATATGACATGCCAACTTCGATGATGGTGAATTTACATAATGCAACTGCAGAGTTCGATCACCTTATGGTGAACATGTTTTCACTTTTGCAAGAGTATGAATCTGCTGTTAATAATCTGGGTCAAATTAACCCACCCCTAGGGATGAGATTCTCTACCCAGATGCTCAATTTTACTAAGAATTCTGCAGCAGTTTTGAGGCAACAAATGGAAGAAAGTAACCATGATATGGTTCATATGCTTTCCCAACAGATGGGCACTATATTTAATTCTTTTATTCAAAACACCGCCCAAACAAATAAGTAATTGGCAGCGCAGATGATTCAAATTGCAGATTTCTTTGGAGTTCCACAAGCGCCTCGACATATCTTAAGGGAGTTAGTAGTCGACAACCAAGGGGAAATCCTTGAAGAGGATCCAAAAATTAACCAAGCCCAGTGAAACGTACCTCGTGTAGATGTGTAAAATCAAGGAATTAGAGTCAAACCTCATAGGGTTGAACAACCAATTCCAAGGGAGCAGGAACCAATGGTGGTAATAGTTAATAGGAATCAAGATGCGGATGAAGTCGTACATCAAGTCTGAAATGATGGTATGGCTGGTGATAGCATTTGACGGCCATGGTCGAAAGGATTATGGCACGAAATGGGGTGAATGTTGGCCTCCATAGGCCAAATTATATTTCACCATTGTCTGATTATATTTTGCAAACTCCATTGCCTAGGGGATTAAAAGTTCCTAAATTCACAAAATTTTCAGCATATATTAGTGAGTCAATTGTCGAACACGTGGCGAGATATCTGACTAAAGCGGGTGATCTTAATGCGAAGCTGGCGAAACATGAAGAAGAAGAAGAAGAAGAGATGTTGCTGATGGTTACAACGAGAGATGAAGAGAGATCCAAGGACCAGTGGTACTTGGACTCAGGATGTTCATTGCACATGTATGGAAGGAAAGATTGGTTTGTCAACACAAAGCCATCAATGAAGAACATGATGAAATTTGCAAATGACAATACTCTAGCAACTGAAGGTATTAATGATGTTCTGATAATGAGAAAAGATGGCAAAAGGTCAGTAATTTTTAATGTGTTGTACATACCAGGCATGAAGAGCAATTTTCTCAGTATATGGCAATTGGTCGAAAATAATTACAAAGTGTCGGTTGAAGGCAAGATGATGAGAGTTCTCGACTCAAGTGGTAGGTTAATCTTGAAGGCATCAATGTCTCAGAATAGAACCTTCAAGATTAAACTTAATGTGATGAAGCATAAGTACCTTACAATTGCAGCCAACAAAGATGAACAGATATGGCATTATTGACTTAGCCATCTAAATTTCAAAGACATCAAATATTTGAAGAGAAGAAATATGGTTTCAGGATTATCAAAAATCGACATTCCAAGTGAAGTGTGTGAAGAATGTATTTAGGCAAAAAAAACACAAGAACAACTTCAGCGAGGATGCAAGAAGCAACTAGAAGGTAATTCTTGAAGTCATATACTCTGATGTGTGTAGACCTATCTAGGTGGATTCGATTAGAGGTAATAAATACTTTGTCACAATCATAGATGATTTTAGTTGAAAAATGTGGACTTACCTGATCAAGAAGAAAAGTGAAGTGATCAAGGTATTTGCCAAGTTTAAATCTATGGCCGAAAGACAAAGTGGTCGAAAGCTCAAGATTTTGAGGGTTGATGGTGGTGGAGAGTATGTGTCGAAAGATTTCGATGCATTATGTGAGAAAGAAGGGATTGTACATGAGGTGATGTCACCCTACACTCCACAATAAAGTGGAATTGCAGAAAGGAATAATAGAATCATCATGAATATAGTGAGAAGTATGTTGAGAGGAAATCACCTAACCAACAAATTACGTGGATAAGCTGTGTCGACTGCAACATACATCTCAAATAAATATCCGATAAAGAAGCTAGAAGGAATCACGCTAGAAGAATGTTGGTCTGGTGTCAAGCCTAGTCTAAGTCATATGAAGGTGTTTGGATCTATAGAACATATACATGTGCCAGATTAGTTGAGAAGAAAATTTGATGACAAGTTGAGTCAAATGATCTTGATAGGATATCATTCGACTAGAGGATACAAATTGTTTGACCTAGTGAACAAACAAGTTTTGATCAGAAGGGACATGATCATAGATGAGATTAAGGAATGAGATTGGACAGAGAATGTTAAGAAGGATTCAGTGAGAGTGGTTTATGAAAAACCAGCTAGTGAATTCGAAAGAGAAGTTTGACAAGAAGAAGTCATAGGTGAAGCAGGCCCAAGAGACCTTAACAAACAAGACACATGCTTGCAAGGTTGCAAGAATGTGTAATTACGTTAGATGATGTGGTAAATGAAGAAGGTGAGCTAGTACAATAAGATTTCTACACAGATGTCGAACCAGTCATTGTAGCTGAGGCATTGAAAGACTCAAAGTGGGTGAAAGCAATGAATGAGAAACTAGAGTCCATCGAAGTTAACAACACTTGGTCACTTTTCAAATTGACTCAAGGCAAGAAGGCAAACGATGTGAAATGGTTATACAAGGTGAAGCTAAATCACAAAGGAGAAGTAACTCGACACAAGACAAGACTTGTAACAAAAGGATTTCTTCATAAAGAAGGAATTGATTTCGACGAAATCTTTGCACTAGTTGCTAGAATCGAAATAATTAGGTTAGTTGTTGGTCTAGAAAACATGAACAACTGGTACATGTGTCAGATGGTTGTGAATTGTGCATTTCTAAATGGCCCCTTAGATGAATAAGTTTATGTTTCACAATCGGCTGCATAAAAGGTGTACATGCTACATAAAACCATGTATGGACATAAGCAAGCTCTAAGAGCTTGGAATAAGAAGATAGATAGTTTTCTAAGGGAGAAGGAATTTTTAAAGTGCATGATTGAACAAGGAGATTATGTAAGAAGAAGCAAGAGTGAATTGCTTATATTGTGTCTCTATGTCGATGACCTATTGATTACAGGTAGCTGCAAGAAAGAGATCGAAGACTTTAAATGTGATCTTATCAAGGAGTTCGAAATGTATAATCTGGGTAACATTTCTTACATCCTTGGTATCGAATTCTACAAGAGCAGTAGAGGCTCCATGACGCATCAAATAAGATATACTAGTGAAATACTCAAGAGATTTGAGATGCAAGATTGCAACCCAACTTCGACTCCAACTGAGTCCAGAATGCAACCGTCAAAAGAATCAAATGAAGACGATGTTGACCCAACTCTGTTATGGAATAGAGGGAGCAAATTTCTATAGCCAAGAAAAAATGAAACAAAAAATATTAGTCAAGTCATTGGAACTAAACAAAAAAATCTCAGCCAAGTAAAAATGAAACAACAAATCTCAGCCAAGTAATTGCAACTCGAATTGTGCTTGCAAGATAAGATTTTCTTTTTTTGAGAGGAATCACTATGTAGTCCTAATACAATAAGTACTAAAGGACCAAAGAAATTAATTAATGTTTCAACAAATAAAGTTTGAAAAATAGACTTCAACTTTTGGAGTTTTGTAATTGAGAAGTAAATATAAAATGTGGCTGGCTTCATATATTCTTTGTGAGAAAATTAAGAAAAGAGAAAATGGAGTTTTGGACAGAGTATGTCATGAAGAACAATGTGGGAAGAGAGTTTGTGGCGGGCGGAATTGGAGGCACGGCGGGTATCTTATCGAGTTATCCGTTGGATACTCTCCGCATCATGCAACAGCAGTCCGGCAATGCATCTGCCGTTGGCATCTTTAGAAATTTGTTGGCCAAGGAAGGAGCTTTTGCTCTCTACCGTGGCATGGCAGTTCCTTTGGCTTCTGTTGGTTTTCAGGTCAGTCTTTTACTTTCATAATTGGATCCATTTGCTAAGGAATGAAATTAGTTAACATTTAATGTATCTGATATTTTTTACTTTGTGCTTCTTAAAAAATCACAAATATTTTTTCTTTTTATGCAGAATGCTATAATTTTTCAAAGTTATACCATTTTTACAAGGATTTGTAGCCCTTATAATTCTTTCAATGGACCTCCTTCATTTGTGAATGTTGCTCTAGGAGGACTCGGCGCAGGTGCTCTGCAAAGTATATTGATGTGTCCTGTTGAGTTAGTTAAAATTCGCATTCAGCTTCAGAAAAATATTGACAGTCTTTCAAAACACAAAAAGAGCACTCCTTTATTCTTGGCTAAGAACATTTGGAAAAACGAGGGCCTCTGTGGAATTTATCGAGGATTTGGCATCACTGTTCTTAGAGACTCACCTGGTATGGCCTTCTACTTTGGAGCATATGAGTACACGAGGGAGAAACTCCACCCTGGTTGTAGAGAAAGTTGTCAAGAGAGTGTGCATACTATGTTTATAGCAGGAGGAATAGCAGGGATGGCGAGTTGGTTTTTTAACTACCCTGCAGATGTTATCAAGACTAGATTGCAGGCTCAAACACCATCTTCATTGAAATATAAAGGTATCTTGGATTGTACCTTAAAGATAATCAAAGAAGAAGGTTTGATTGTGCTATGGCGGGGTTTAGGAGCAACACTTGCTCGAGCATTTGTTATGAACAGTGCTATATTTCCTGCATATCAAATGGCTTTAAGGTGTTTGACCAATAATTAAAATATCTCTACTTCAACGGTTGTTGAGGAGAAAATAAACAACAAGCATGTAATAAAAAATCAATAAGAAGAAATGACTTATTAACTTAATTTTCATTCAGTTTTTTTAAAGAAAATATTTGGATGATGAGAAACCTGATTCTAATTTTTTTTTCTATATTTTGGAGCAAACTACATAATATCCAATGTTGCAAATTCCTTTGAATCCTAAGAAACTCTTAAGAACTACTTCCTTTCTATTGTCCAAATTTCGGCTCCTTTGACTCCATGAATCATTCTTCATTATGCCCAAGCATTTTCCAATCCATGCTTTGTCCATGAAAATAACCTATTACAAAGAAAGGGAATTCAATTAAGATTGAGACATTACCAAGCAATGCAAGCAAGACAATGATTCAAACTTTGCAACATTTCCCATAACAGAACTCAGAAAAATTTGCACAGATTTTGAGAAAACTGATTTTGAAATTGGGTTCAGGACATGATTTATAGTAGGTTTACAGATGTGGTTTTGTTGATTTGAACAGAATTTAGAGGGTTCGTTTTTACCTTTGCTATATGTGGTCCAGTTGAAATAGGAATATGGATTTTTATTCTCTATCTAACATCTTATGCAAACTATTTGAAATAGATATTATGTTATACTTTTGTAGAGCGCTGCAAATACTTGTTGGGGTGAGAAAGAAAATTCAAAATAGAATAATGACAAATATAGCTATTGTATTTTATGATTTTCATGTTCAATACCGGCTTTCTTCACTTTCTGAATTTCATAGCTATTGATTTCACATTATAATAGCTATTGGATAATGACAAATATTCCGGATTTTATGCTTATTAGGTGGTTTTTGACTTCTCTTTCTTAGCACTTCTTGATATTTGTCAATTTGTTTAATAAAGTCCTAGTATTTAGGAGGATATATTCTTTAAGAGTTTAGTTAGTGCTTTGATTCTTTCCACTACATTATAGGGCAGTTAGATGTAGCTGCTATTTACTCTCTCAAACACGTTGTATTGGAAATATATATAGCCTCAGTTTGCTATCATTTAATAAATCATCCTTTTCAGTTGTTATATTTGTCTATGAGTTTTAACAATTAGCATCAGAGCTCTGTAAAGGACCTGGTTGTGTGAAAGGGTGTGAGTAAAACAGAGAGAGAGAAAGCAGAATGTCAACATCAGAGAAATTTCTGCAACCCTCCATCCCAAGATTCGATGGCCATTACGATTTTTGGGCGATGACGATGGAGAACTTTTTGAGAAGTAAGGAGATGTGGAGTCTGGTGGATGAAGGAATACCGACACTGGCAATTGGGACGTCATCAGCAAATGAGGCACAAAGGAAGATGGTGGAGGAAGCCAAACTCAAAGATTTGAAGGTTAAAAACTATCTATTCCAGGCAATAGATAGACAAATTCTAGAGACAATTCTCGACAAAGGGACGTCAAAGACAATCTGGAATTCAATGAAGCAGGGGTATCAAGGATCCACCAAGGTGAAAAGGGCTCAACTTCAGGCACTAAGAAGAGAGTTTGAACTTCTCACCATGAAAGAAGGAGAAAAGATAGACAGTTACCTAGGTCGAACCTTGTCTATAGTAAATAAAATGAAGTCAAATGTCGAGACAATAGAGCATAGTATAGTGGTCAGTAAGGTACTTAGGTCTTTGACTCCCAAATTCAATTATGTTGTTTGTTCAATAGAGGAGTCAAATGATTTAAGTACGTTAAGCATCAATGAATTGCACGGGAGTTTGTTGGTTCAAGAACAGAGGATGCATGGCTATCATGAGGAGGAACATCTGTTGAAAGTGGCTCATGAAGACAGAGCAGGCAGGGGAAGAGGTCGAGGCGCATTCAAAGGAGGACGTGGTCGAGGTAGAGGAAGACAACCTCTAAGCAAAGCAACCATTGAGTGTTTCAAATGTCATAAGTTGGGGCACTTTCAATATGAATGTCCTGATTGGGAAAAGAAAGTAAATTATGCTGAGTTAGAAGAAGAAGAGGGCTTCTGTTGATGTCATATGTAGAGCATCATGAAACAAAGAGGGACAAGGTGTGGTTCCTCGACTCAGGACGCAGTAATCACATGACCGGGAATAGATAATGGTTCCTTGATATGGAAGAAGAGTTTAGCCAAACCGTAAAACTTGGGAATGACACAACAATGGAAGTGGTTGTAAAAGGAAGCATAAGAGTGGAAGTGAATGACATAACCCAGTTGATTTCTGATGTTTACTATATTCCTGAGCTTAAAAACAATTTATTAAGCTTGGGGCAACTTTAAGAGAAGGGATTAACAATCATGATTCAAAATGGGACTTGCAAAGTGTTTCATCCTAAGAGAGGTTTGATTATGCAAAGTGATATGAGTGGAAACAAAACGTTCTTTGTGTTAGCCTCCATGAAAACGAGGAGCTCCATGTGCTTAAAGACTGAAGGAGTGGCTGATAAAGAAGCTCACATGTGGCACTGCCGGTTTGAGCACTTGAATCACAAGGGATTGAGAATGATGTCTATCAACAAGATGGTAATTGGTTTACCTTTGTTGAAAAATCCAGAGAAGATTTGCACCACATGTTTGTCTGGAAAGTAACATAGAGAGCCCATACCCAAGAAAAGCTTATGGAGGGCATCAAAACCGCTTCAGCTAATCCATTCATACATATGTGGTCCTATCACGCCAATTTCTAGCAGCAACAAGAGGTACATTTTAAGTTTTATCGATGACTTTACTCATAAAACTTGGGTTTATTTCTTGCATGAAAAATCTGAAGCTTTTGTCACATTCAAAAACTTCAAGGCTTGTGTTGAAAAGGAGACATGGGCATATATAACATGTTTGAGGACAGACAGGGGTGGTGAGTTTAACTCAAATGAGTTTGGAAAGTTTTGTCGATCACAAATCATTAGTAGGCAATTGACAGCAGCCTATACCCCCCAGCAGAATAGCGTTGCCGAGAGGAAGAACAGAACAATTATGAATGATGTCCGATCCATGTTGAGTGAGAAACAAGTTCCCAAAACTTTACGGCCGGATGCTGTGTGCACATTCAAAATCGATCTCCAACAACAACAATTCAAAATACAACACCGGAAGAGGCATGAAGTGGCAAGAAACCAATGGTGGAGTATTTTCGAATCTTCCGTTGTGTAGCACATGTACATGTGCCAGATCAAAAAAGTTTTTTTTTAGGAGTCGGTGAAGAATCAAAAGCTTAGAGATTATGCGATCCGGTTTCAAAGAAAATTATCATCAGCAGAGATGTAGTTTTTGAAGAAGAAGAAAGCTGGGATTGGGGTAGAACAAACAAGGAGATCAAGGGAGATATATTAGAATGTGGTGATGATATCATTGGAGATGAAAGTGATGATCAGATTGAAGAAGAAAGTGGTGAAACAAGAAATTCAAGCAGCAGTCCTACGGAGACACCCTCAAATGAGGAAAATCTAAGTACACCTGAAGTGCTTGACGCAACTGGAGAATTAGTTGAAGGGAGGGTAGCACGAGAAAGAAGAGCACCAAGTTGGATGACAACTTATGAAACAGGGGAAGGGATTTCAGAGGAAGAGAATCTCAATGTAATGCTGGCAGTCACTGATCCTGTTACATTTGTAGAAGCAAATAAAAGCAAGAAATGGAGGGAAGCAATGTCAGCAGAAATTGAGGCCATAGAAAAGAATTACACTTGTGAGCTTACACTATTGCCTAAAGGAGTAAAGCCTATCGGAGTTAAGTGGGTGTTCAAGACTAAGCGTAATGAAGTTGGAGAAATAGAGAAATTCAAAGCAAGATTGGTTGCAAAAGGGTATGTGCAGCGTCATGGAATATATTACACTGAAGTATTTGCTCTGGTGGCGAGACTTGACACCATTTGTGTGATACTTTCAATGGCTGCTCAGTTCAGTTGGGAGGTCTTTCAACTTGATGTAAAGAGTGCCTTTCTTCATGATGAACTCAAGGAGGAAGTGTTTGTGCAACAACCAGAGGGATTCATTAAAAAGGGAGAAGAAGAGAAAGTCTATAAGTTGAGGAGAGCACTTTACAGACTAAAACAAACACCATGAGCGTGGTATATATAACTAAAAGCATTATCATTTCATCTATTTGTAATAATGTTCGATTCTTTAATTGATTGTATTAAGTTCCACAAGTTGGTGATTTTAGACTAGTAAGGTGGAAGTCTGGTGGTGTACACTCGAGTTATTGGGAAATTTGGGTTTGTGCCATTTAATTTATTATTCTTTACTTTTTCATTTTTTAAATTTTGATAAAACCAAGTTTCATAATAATGAGTTGATTTTATGAGGTATTGCTAACAATGTGATATTGAGTATAGGTTGTGATAGCAATTTGAAACTATAGTCTTGAGTTTTGTTGAAATTGTAACAGGGGTATCTTTTTTAAAATGATATTTATGAAATTGCATTTGTTTTGTAAAAAAATCATAAGTGAATAATGGATGTTTTTCAATAGCTATGAAATTATCAACAATAACTAACAAATACTTGCTTTCTTCTCTCTTCATTATCAGCTGTCTCACTAGAATAACAAGGTCTTGAAGTTTTAGATGAGATGGTTATAGGATCCAAAGTCACACTATTTTCTAAAGTTAGTAACACAAGTTTAAGAGATTGAACACACTATTTTTTAAAGTTAGTAACACAAGTTTAAGAGATTGAATAAAAGTATTGATGGCACTAATGTATATGTTGGAGCTTCGGTAAATGAAAATTAGGAATATTAAGACATCATCGTATTTTCTAGCATAGAAAATACTAGTTAACCGTTAGGATCTTTTCAAATAATATTAGAAAATTACTTGAAAGAATAATTGTTTTTAATTAATTTTTAATAGATTTTTATAAATTAAAGTTTTTGATCATATTTATTTAATCATGGATTCAATTACATTAAAAGTGATGAGTATGATGTTGATATGCAGATAAGACAATTGAATTGAATTTATGATAGAAAAGCAGGACATGACTTCATAAATT